TTCCTTCCTTCCTTCCTTCCTTCCTTCCTTCCTTCCTTCCTTCCTTCCTTTCTCTCTCTCTCTCCCTCCCTCCCTCCCTCCTTCCTTCCCTCCCTCTCTTTTTCCTTCCTTCCTTCCTTTTTTCTTTATTAAGAAATTTTTTATTCATTTTACATACCAACTAGAGATTCCCCCTCTCATCCCTCCTCCCACTCCCTACCAGCCTGGCCCCCCAACTCACCCACAATCCCTCCTCTGAAAAGGTAAGTCCTCCCATGGGAAGTCAGCAAAGCCTGGTACATACAGTTGAGACAGGTCCAAGCCCCTCCCCCTGCATTAAGGCTGTGCAAGGTGTCTCACCATTGGTAATGGGCTTCAAAAGGCCAGCTCATGTACCAGGGATAGATCCTGATCCCACTGCCACTGCCAGGGGCTCCATAAACAGACCAAGCTACATAACCGTCTTGCTTACGTAGAGGGCCTAGTCTAGTCCTATGCAGGCTCCATAGCTGTTGGTTCACAGTTCATGAATTCCCACTAGTTTGGTTGGTTGTCTCTGTAGGTTTCCCAATCATGATCATGATGCCCCTTGCTCATAGAATCCCTCTTCCTTCTCTTTAACTGGACTCTTGGAGCTTAGCCTGGTACATGGCTCTGGATCTCTGCATCTGCTTCCCTCAATTACTGGATGAAGACTCTATGATGACAGTTAAAGTACTTACCAATATGATTACTGGAGTGCGCCAGTTCAGGCACCCTCTCCATTATTGCTAGTAGTCAAAGCTGAGGTGATCATTGTAGATTCCTGGGAACTTTCCTAGCACTAGGTTTCTCTCTGTCCCCAGGATATCTCCCTCTATCAAGATATCTCTTTTATTGCATTCCCACTCTGTCCCTGTTCTAGTGAGACCATCCCATTCCCTTATGTTCTCTACCTTCTATTACCCTCCTCACCCCAATTTACTCAGGAGGGCTCATCTATTTCACCTTCCAAGGGTGATCCATCCATCCCCCTTAGGGTCCTTCTTGTTAGCTAACTTCTCTGGAGCTGTGGGTTGTAGTTTGGTTATCCTTTGATTTGCATCTAGTATTGACTTATAAGTGAGTTCATGCCATGTTTATCTTTCTGAGTCTGGGTTATCTCACTCAGGATGATATTTTCTAGTTCCATCCATTTGTCTGCAAATGTCATTGTTTTTCTCTGCTGAGTAGTACTCCATTGTGTATATGTACCACATTTTCTTAATCCATTCTTCATTGGAGGGGCATCTAGGTTATTTCCAGGTTCTGGCTATAACAAATAATGCTGATATAAACATAGTTGAGCCAGTGTCTTTGTGGTATGATTGATCATTCCTTGAGTGTATGCCAAGAGTGGTGTCATTGGGTCTTGAGGTAGATTGATTCCCAATTTTCTGAGAAAACACCATACTAATTTCCAAAGTGGCTGTACAAGTTTGCATTCCCACCAACAGTGGAGGAGTGTTCCCCTTACTCCATATCCTTTCCAACATAAGCTGACATCAATGGTTTTGATCTTAGCCATTCTGACAGATATAAGATGGTATCTCAGAGTTGTTTTGATTTGCATTTCCCTGATGATTAGGGATGTTGAGCAATTCCTTAAATGTCTTTCAGCCAGTTGAGTTTCCTCTGTTGAGAATTCTCTGTTTAGTTCTATAGCCCATTTCTTAATTGGACTGTTGGGTATTTTGATGTCTAGTTTCTTGAGTTCTTTTGGAGATCAGCTCTCTGTCAAATGTGGGGTTAGTAAAGATCTTTTCCCATTCTGTAGGTTATCATTTTATCTTATTTACCATGTTTTTTGCCTTACAGAGAAACTTCTCAGGTGCAGGAGGTCCCATTTATTAACTGTTGCTCTCAGTGTCGGTGTGACGTGTTATATTTAGGAAGTGGTCTCCTGTGCCAGTGCATTCAAGGCTACTTCCTACTTGATCTTCTATCAGGTTCATTGTAACTGGATTTATGTTGAGATCTTTGATCCACTTGGATTTGAGTTTTGTGCATGGCAATAGATAAGGATCTATTTGCAATTTTCTACATGTTGACATTCAGTTATGATGGCACCCATTTGTTGAAGATGTTTTCTTTTTTCCATTGTACAGTTTTGATTTCTTTGTCAAAAATCAGGTGTTCATAGGTGTACAGATCAATTTCAGGGTCTTCAATTCAATTCCATTTTTCTACATGTCAGTTTTTATGCCAGTATCAAGCTGTTATTATTATTCTAGCTCTATAGTAGAGCTTGAGGTCAGGGATGGTGATGCCTCCAGAAGTTGTTATATTGTACAGGATTTTTTTAGCTATCCTGGGTTTTTTGTTTTCCCATATGAAGTTGAATATTTTTCTTTCCAGTTCTGTGAAATATTGTGTTGGGATTTTGATAGGGATTGCATTGAATCTGTAGATTGCTTTTGATAAGATTGCCATTTTTATTATGTTGATTCTACCTATACATGAACATAGGAGATCTTTACATTTTCTGATGTCTTCTTCAATTTCTTCCTTCAAACACTTAAAGTTTTTGTCATACAGGTCTTTCACTTACTTAGTTAGAGTTACCCTGAGGTATTTTATATCATTTGTGGCTACTGTAAAGGGTGAAGCTTCTCTGATTTCTTTTTGGCTCATTTATCATCTGTATATAAGAGAGCCACTAATTTTTTTGTGTTAATCTTGTATCCTGCCAAATTACAGAAGGTGTTTATAAGCTGTAGGAGTTCCATGGTAAAAATGTTTGGGGCCACTTATGTATATTATTATATCATCTGCAAATAGTGAAAGTTTGACTTCTTTCTTTCCAATATGCATCCCCTTGATCTCCTTTTATTGTCTTATTGCTCTAGCTAGAACTTTGAGTACTCTGTTCAATAAATATGGGGAGAATGGACAGCCTTGTCTTGTACTTGATTTTTGTGGAATTGTTTTGAGTTTCTCTCCATTTAGTTTGATGTTGGCTGTTGGCTTGCTGTAAATTGCCTTTATTATGTTTAGGTATGTTTCTTGTATTCCTGATCTCTACAAGATTTTTATCATGAAGGGGCATTGCATTTTCATCAAATGAGATGATCATGTAGTTTTTTTCTTTCAGTTTGTTTATATGGTGGATTACATTGACAGATTCTTGTATGTTGAACCATCCATGCATCTCTGGGATGAAGCCTACTTGATCATGGTGGATAATTTCTTTGTCATGTTCTTGGATTCAGTTTGCCACTGTCTTATTGAGTATTTTTACATCAGTGTTCATGAGGGAGATTGGGTCTGTAATTCTCTTTCTTTGTTGCATTTTTGATTTGGGTATCATGATAACTGTAGCATTATAAAAAGAGTTTGGCAATGTTCCTTCTGTTTCTATTGTGTGGAACAATTTGAAGAGCATTGATATTAGCTCTTCTTTGAAAATCTGGTAGATTTCTGCTTTGAAACTATCTGGGTCTTGATCTTTTTTTGGTTTGGAGACTTTTAATGAGTGTTTATATTTCCTTTGGGGTTATTTGTATATTTAAATTATTTATCTGATCTTGATTTAACTCTGGTATGTTGTACCTATCCATAAAATTGTCCATTTCTTTTAGATTTTCCAATTTCATTGGGAGTACAGGTTTTTGAAGTATGACCTGATGATTCTCTGAATTTCCTCATTGTTTGTTCTTATGTCTCCCTTTTCATTTCTGATTTTGTAAATTGGGATGTTCTCTCTCTGCCTTTTGGTTACTTTGGATAAGTGGTTTTCTCAAAGAACCAACTCTTTGTTTCATTGATTCTTTGTATTGTTCTCTTTGGTTCTATTTTATTGATTTCATCCTCAATTTGGTTATTACCTTGCGTCTATTTCTCCTGGGTGCGTTGGCTTCTTTTTTTTTCTAGAGCTTTCTGGTATGCTATTAAGTAGCTCATGTGAGATTTTTTCCAACTTCTTTATGTGGACATTTAGTGCTATGAATTTGCCTCTTAGCACTGCTTTCATAGTGTCCCATAATTTGAGTATGTTGTGCATTCATTTTCCAGAATTCTAGAAAGTCTTTAACTTCTTTCTTTATTTCTCCCTTGACTCAGTGGTGATTTGGTTGAACATTGTTCAGTTTCCATTAGTTTGTAGGCTTTCTGTAATTTATGCTGTTTGAATTCTAACTTTAAGCCATGGTGATTTGATAGGATACAGATGTCTATTTCAATTTTTTCTTTTTTTTAATTAATTAATTTTTTAAATTTCACACATTTGTGGTATTCGTAGATTACATTCGCAGTATTCATTCAATTATATATATATGTTTAATTTTAAATGTTAAATGTCATTTCCTGAAGGGGGTAGGAGGTCTTAAGGTCGTAAATACGGGCTTACAGCACAATGGGAGGACCCCGGAGGGCAGAAGTTCACTACTGATGTTTTACAATCTTGCATCTAAGCTGTTAATGCCCATTATTCAGGATACACAGACAAGGAACTTCCCTTAAGCATTCAGGAGGGTGGAACCTGGCAGGGAATTAGCATTGGGAGGATATCAAGGTCAAGGTCGGCAAGCAAGGCAACA